TTAAATTTTCCTTTGTTATAAAAATTCATGAAATTTTATTTTCCAAAAATTCTAATCCCGCGATTGACGCGGTTCAAAAAAAAAAACATCACGAAGAACACCGGCTCAATAGTTTCTAATCATGTTCAATAAATCTTAAATATAGATTATATTTCTATGCAATTAGCATTTTTACACTTTCTCAATCTCATATAAGGGTATTGGCAGAGCCGTACCAACATTGACGGATGCCCAAAACAAAAAAAAAAAATACCTCAGTTCATAATTTTTTTACTACAATAATAAATATTTCATTATATAGAAAAAAAAGACAAATAAAAAACTAAAAGCTAGCAAAAGAAATACTAGTTATAAAACTTTTTTTCTTTTTGTTCAACAAAACTGTTAATCATATTTTCAAAATCAAAGTTTTGAAGTAAAATCTTTCATGGATATAATATATTTTTTTTAAAATATCATATACTCGAATGAAAATAAGATAGTCAAGTGATTCCATCTTTTATGTATCAAACTAATTTTCTGTTTATTTTACTTTAATTCTTTAACAATTATGAATTGTTTTTATATTGTTAGTTATTTAACTATTAAAAATCCATAATTTTTAATGTTTTGTTTATTTTAGTTATCACCAATTTTTCAACGTTTAGATCTATATCTCTATAATTGTATTATTTGAGTTTAACTAAATGAAATAAATAAAAGTATGCCTTTTAACTTTTCTAATAAAAAAAATGCCCCCAAAGTTTCAAATATTACCATTACCTCACGGCTCTGGTATTGGTCCTAAATCAACTATATATAGACTAGTTTTTCGTTGTCAGATTCATGTAAACCTTTGTAAAACGTGTACATGAGACCAAATTGTTTAAGTATTAGTGATACGATCAAGTTCATACACATACATTAATAGACCAAATAATTCGACATGTACATGCAATGGCACGCAACCATGTATCATGCGTATGCTTAGATTACAATTTAATCACTGCAATACTCATGGGACCAGCCTCTGGACAATTGGCCCATGATGTAAACTATCAAATATGGTGGCAATAAAATAATATTGTGGTAGATATTATTTTTTTCGTCAGTTGTAATGGGGTAGATATTTTTATAGGAAATGTTGAACTTGGTTGGACATTTATCTCAAACAGTGTTAACTAAAACACCCTTTTTATTTTTACTTGCATCTCATATAGTTTATTTTTTACTTGCGTTTCGTTTATACTTTTTTTTGTTGGTAGAATATTTATACTATATGTTTTAGTATATGAAGAGTTGTTACGAGTTGTCGGAAAATATAAATATGACCTATGTCCGAATGCTCAAGATTGTTGTATAACCATTTTGAGTATGTCCAAGAGTAAATCTCATTTTATTGGTATATTTTTGTAATCAAAATGATGTCACATTGACCTGATCACTTTTCTCAAATTTCAGCAAAATGATGTCACATGTATGTATCAATTATCATTTTTTTTCAGATATGTTAGTTATTTATTTCTTATGATAAGCTTATTATCTAGGATTTCAAAAGTATGGGATATGTGAAAAAATGATTTGAATATCTAAGTTAAGCGAGGTGTTCTTGAAATCTCGAAAGTTTTGTAAAAAATCTATATTTAAACGTATTTGGTCCCAAAATAATTTCGACATGAATGATATATTGAAAAATGATATGATACTCATTATCATGCAAATGAAAACAAAACATCAAACAGAACGTGGTGATTTTTATGGAAAACCTACTAGACCATACCAATATATATCTGAAAGTGTAGAGTTTTGGGATATATAGAAAAGTTAGAGTTTTTCAATAGTTCCTTAAGAAATGTTATTAGATGTTTAGCAAAAAATAAAAACAAAATGTTGTTAGATTCGATAGGTACACATAACAGTATAATTCTTTGATGGTACAATTACAAGCAATACGTAATAGTGATAAAAAAAAGTTGTAGTAGAACAATAAAAACAGTGCTATATACCACATCTTGTAACATTCTTTCTTTGTTGTTTGAATGGTTATAAACAAAATTATACAAATTGTAATGTTGTGTAATAAAATCACCAATCAGTGCTAAAATTGTGTACGTATATATAGAATCTACGCCCATATACCTAAGCTAGCTTCTTGCACGTACAATAACAAGTCTTACCGGACCGGACCCATTTTAGTTTGGTATGACAATAAACTACTACTCATACAAGAGAACTTCCTATAAAAGGAAAGCGGAATCAAATAAGATTTTGAAATTTCTTCAAATAGTTCAAATATGTACAATTATCATTTGTGTTTCGTATCTAATGGTTTCTCTCTATTGCTTGTATTATCGGAAACGACCCTACAATAATTATATATTTTTTACATAATACTATAGATGTCGCATTCTTATAAGCATTTGTAACACTGAACGAGAATAAATATACAACTTTCTGAAAATAGCAGAATTAATGCTATAACAACAACTTCGACCCAAAATTAATTGAGCTGTACTAAGACTTTTCATTTTTTAAAGGTTTTTCGTATGTTAATCGACAGTGAATTATATAACTTACGAGTAATTGTTGTCGTAATCTGTGAAATAATGAGTCTCAGAATCATATGATAATATGTAGTATCTTATATGTCAGATCATGTCATCCGGTGACCGGTAGTGCCCAAAATCATTAGACCTTTTGGGCAAAATAAATGACGCATTTTACCATGTCAATAATCTTATATTTAGTTTATAAATAATATAAAAGTATTAACTACATTAAAAATAAATATGTGTATTTTCATAAATTTTAGCCAAGATAAAAGTAAATAAATATAGAATGTCTAAACACGGTAAAGTTTTAACTTACAAAATTTGCAGCTTATATATTACTCCCTATGTCCCATAATATAAGAATTTCTACCTAAAAGCATGGAATTTAAGAACTATTTAAATATTAATTTTTATTTTGTTTTTTTTACATTAAAAGTATCATTTATTATCTAATC